CACCCCCATAGAGACAGCCAGAGGTCCAGACAACAGGCCCTCCGATTTGACACATTGAACTCTATCTGAGAAGTAGTTGGTGAACCAGGCGAGGCAGTCATTAGAGAAACAAAGGCTATTTAGTCTGCCAATAAGAATGCGGTGGTTGACAGAGTCGAAAGCCTTGGCCAGGTCGATGAAGACGGCTGCGCAGTACTGTCTTTTAGGACCTTGAGCGTGGCTGAGGTGCACCCATGACCAGCTCGGAAACCGGATTGCATAGCGGAGAAGGTACGGTGGGATTCTAAATGGTCGGTGATCTGTTTGTTAACTTGGCTTTCAAATACTTTCGAAAGGCAGGGCAGGATGGATATAGGTCTGTAACAGTTTGGATCTAGAGTGTCACCCCCTTTGAAGAGGGGGATGATCGCGTCAGCTTTCCAATCTCTGGGGATCTCAGACGTTACGAAAGAGAGGTTGAACAAGCTAGTAATAGGGGTTGCGACAATTTCGGCGGCTAATTTTAGAATTGTTGCAAAAGGTGGCTCTACAAAGTATTGACTTTGGGGGGTGAATAGTTATGCACGCTCAAGTGTTCTGTTTTTTTGTCTTATTTCTTTTGGTTCACAAAAAAAATATTTTGCATCTTCAAAGTGGTAGGCATGTTGTGTAAATCAAATGATACAAACCCACAAAAAATAAATTTTAATTCCAGGTTGTAAGGCAACAAAATAGGAAAAATGCCAAGGGGGGTGAATACTTTCGCAAGCCCCTGTACTTCTTCGATAACAATGAAAAATGTTAGTTTTTTCCTTATTCCACATCTTCCAGGGCCAGAGAGAGACACAAATACCCATACAAGTGCACCAGCTCCAAACCTTTTACTTGGTCTCTATAAGCCTCTAGGTCAGAAAGCCACCTTTGAGTGTTGAATTGAACCGTTAGACAATAGAACAGGATCCCTTACGGTTTATTCTGTCAGGAAGATAAAGGATCTGGATCTGGATGGATGGAGGGACCTGTTGCTGTTTACCACTTTGGTAACACTTTTAATTAGACACAGCTTAACTCATCTATTCTAGAACTCAGACCAATAGCCTCTTCAGGTTCACATTAATTGTCAGGCTGTTATAACAAAGATTACAAAGAGCACAGTAATTTGTGTCCCTGCAACGACAGTCAATAGTACTGATCTGAGCCAACTTGGGACATACTGTAATTAGCATGACTGTGTGTGGCATGATCCATTGTAGCAGGTTTACTACCTAGCTCCACAATAACCACCACTGCAGCATAATGTACTTCCGCCCCACCGCCATGGTTTTTATTTTTGTTTTGTTGACGAAGCGGAGGTGGGGAGCGTCGCACAATGTAAAAAAAATTAAATGTCTTTACATATTCTGCTGTTCTATCCTGCATGCAATGATGTCAGAGGGGGGAAAAAACAGTGTTTGTTGTTTGCAGTAACTTCTTTGTTGTTGTAATATTGCAAACGGACGTGGCACTTCCACCATTATTGATTCCAGCATTAAGGCATTATCTAGGCCTATGCGAGTGATGCAGCACTGCATTTTTGTTTTTCAACTATTTTAAGGTCATCTGTAAATATATTCAGGCCTCGTTGTTCCTCCAGTAATGAAGAGAATTAAGTAAGTAAGATAAATACATTGAGGAGTAAAGTACGTAAAGGGCAATCCATTTATCAGTGTGAGAGAATGACAGAGGGAATAGGAAAAGGTGAATCAGGATGATTTACTAGGCCAACTGCTGAGAGAAGAGCGGTCACCACTGAAAAACACATCCAGATTTTATTCACATTTCCACCAGGTCCATTGAGTATTAAAGGCCCAGTGCAGTCAAAATTCAGTTTTTCCTGTGTTTTATATAATATTATAAAACAGCTGATGAAACTAACACTATAAAAGCATTTGGTCACACTTTATTTGGATAGTCCGGATAGTCCATGTAGATGCTCTACAGATGGCCATACTATCAACAAACTATCTGTTGATAAGCAACTGCTTGTTAAGGTTACGGTTAGGATTAGGTTTGAATAAGGGTTAGGGTAAGGGTTAAGGTTAAGTTTAGGGTTAGGATTAGGGTAATGGTTAAGTTTAGGGTAAGGATTAGGGTTAAGGTTAGGGTTAAGGCTAGGGTTAGTAGATAGTTAGTTGAAATGTTACTGATAGTCTGTAGAGCATCAACAGATGGACTATACTAATAAAGTGTTACCAAAAATGTGATCAGTGTTATTTCCTGATAGTTGCTGGTTGAAAATAAAATCTACACAGGACCTTCTAATCAGCAGGTATGCATGGGTGGGAGTTTTGGCTTTCCATGCGTAAATTGGTTAATAGCCCAATAACAAAGAGTGTTTCGAACATCTCTGCCAACAACAGCTAGTTTTCAGTTTCCCACAGTCATTTTTGCTCAATATAATTTTTTCCCACTATTACAGTAAGGTACTTAATTGTTACCCAGAAATAATTTGATATTGATATAAAAACGGCTGCATTGGGACTTTAAGAATGTTTTATTCACAAGATGACAACATCCCAAACTCTGTTGTTGTTAACTAGTCAAACATGAGTACTGTCTTAGGTAGTTCTAATGTGTTAGCTTACCCTGATTCTGTCAGTGTACATTTAGCAGATACCAGCCCGGGTAGCACAGCTAAAGTGGGGATTCATGTCGTTCCACAGTGGGTCACAACTGCTGACTTACTGTCTGCTGATGTAATAAAATGACATGGCACGACATGGCCTTACACACGGTGGCTATTTCACCTCTCTATCTCCCTCTCTCTTTGTCTCCCTCTGTTTCTCTCTACTAACATGGTAGCAACACACCCTGTCTATTAAGAGGCCCTTTAAAAAGAGAGAGAGATCCCAGGGTGATGGATAATTACAGAAGATAGACTGCCAACATTCTCGCTCAGCCATATTGGAGGCCTTTAGAGCTCCAGTGTAATTTCATTGAAAGAGCACAAGTGACCATAATTCCACCACAGACTTGATTTAAGTGCTTCAACGAGTAAGAGGCGACTGTTATCCTATAGTCTGCAGATGGAAGTGGGTAATTGGATTATTTAGCCTGAGAGGGATGGGTTGCATGGTTCCACCCCTAATATGTGTGTGTGTGTGTGTGTGTGTGTGTGTGTGTGTGTGTGTGTGTGTGTGTGTGTGTGTGTGTGTGTGTGTGTGTGTAGAGGCTGAGAGTCTGTGTGTGTGTGTCTGTGTGTGTTTGTATTGCAAAGTGTGGACTGATGATGCTGTAGGTTAGAGGTCACTGTGGTTCCTTGCCCTATGTTGACAGCCTTGATAAATCAACTATTTTGTTTGATTCAATTGATAGTGATATTGGACGGGCCAGAGAGCAGTATTAGCGCGCCCTAATGTTGTTTTGGATACAGTAGATTGCATTAGATCTGCCATTACAACTATCCAGATAGAACACTTATTGATGCTTGAATGAATGTCCCAATTCTACATTTTCCACCGTTGCACCTGACCTTTTTCAAACTCCCAATCAATGTCCTTGTCTAAAAACTAAAAGTCAACAACAACCTCCAAAATCTTTCACATTCCTTGCAGGACAGGACATGAATTACAATGCACAAAGAAGAACACAACAAACAGCATACATTATTAGTGCAAGTCCTTAGCAACCATGTCCATTGATCTCTGGTGGATGTGATGTGAGGTGTTTTAGAGAGGCTTTGAAATGGAACATCAAAGTAACTATCAGAGTTGAGACCCACTTATAGCAACATGCATTTTTCATATACAGCACATTAGAACAATGTAGCGCATCAGACAGCATGTTATTCTTAAACTTTGAGCTTAACTTTTGAGCTTTGAAGTTACAGTTTGGGACACTATTCCTACAGAAATACATTTTCCAATTCAGGTCCGTCGACGTTGAGTGAGCAATGAGCATAAATGGAGCTGTGTTTGCCTTTCAGTATATTCAAACTTCAGTTACTTCATCAGTGAACATATTCCCTTAGAGAACACAGTGTGCTATATGAGGAACTAAACCCAGTTGCCAATGTTGACGATGGGCTTGTCAGAGCCATGACAGCCAGGCAGAATGGCCTGATATCCCTGGCAACAGAGCTCCAGCAGGGTGTGAGCTAGCTAGCTTCTTGGGGAGGCTGTGTGTGTGTGTGTGTTTGTGATACTGGGACTGACCACTGACCAGGCAGGAGGTGACCAGGGCAGTCCTGATAATGAGTGGTTCTCTGTGGAGAGCTGGACTGACCTTTCCTGCTGATGCAGAATAATGGGGCTTCCCTCACACTGAGCCTAGGGGCCTGCTGACGGGAATCTTCACACAGGGGGAATGATCTGTTATAACAGGCCTGTACAGCTAAAGGCTAAGGAGCACACACGCACCAGTTGAGGCTGCTGAGGGGAGGACGGCTCATAATAATGGCTGGAATGGAGTGAATGGAATGGCATCAAACACATCAAACCACGTGTTTGATGTATTTGATACCATTCCACCTATTCGGCTCCAGCCATTAGCATGAGCCCGTCCTCCCCAATTAAGGTGCCACCAATCTCCTGTGACACGTATGCACACACACACACACAACCACATGCGTATGCACAAACACGCACGCACACAAAGCCTAATTCAGATGTCAGGCTAGTGCTAGCCAAGCCTGAAGATGCTGCTTATTTAGTGGGCTCCCAGCTTCAAAAACCTACAGGATTAACAGGGTTGTCAGGGTTACCTACCATTGTGAGGTGCATGCCTCAACCGGAGGTGAGACTTGTGGCCTCCATATTCCCTGCCGGTAACTAACCTTGTGAGTGATGCTGGTGTCTGACGAACACATTACTCTCTCACAGAAAAGCTATTTTCGAAAGTGATAATTGGAACGCTGCTCTTCCTGTTAACTCACTGTGAACCTGCAGAATCTCTAACAGGGAAGCCAGAGCTATAATGTATGATGACATTGTGAGACATTCGGTTACTAAACATTTTTCACTGATGTTTTCAATACTTTTTAGGACAATGTGGACTTGGGCGATCTCATGTTCTCCCTCTGTTACCTACCAACGGCTGGAAGGCTGACCATCACAATGATCAAGGCTAGGAACCTCAAAGCCATGGACATCACTGGAGCCTCAGGTAGGGGGTCAATAATGTAGGGACTGGGGTCTAGTCTAATATGACAGGGTAATATATCAAATGGAATTTCTGTCTCCCAGTCTTTTAATAACATGGTCCATTGAGCAGAAGGCATGACAAAACATATCAATGTAGCACGACTGTTGAAGAGGCCATGTCTGCATCCGAAATGGCACCATATTCCCTATATAGTGCACAAATTTTGACCATAGGCCTATGTGGACGTACCCCATCAGTTACTCCTTGGGTTTCCCCTTTCCCCCACTGTGTCCCAACTCTCTCTAGATCCCTATGTGAAGGTGTCTTTAATGTGTGAGGGACGGAGATTGAAGAAGAGGAAAACATCCACCAAGCGAAACACTCTGAATCCTGTCTACAACGAAGCCATAGTATTTGATGTACCTCCCGAGAACATTGATCAGATCAGTCTCCTAATAGCAGTGATGGACTACGATCGGTAAATACATTTCATTTTTGTAAAGCTTTTATGAACTGAACTCCATATCATTATGGCAGCAGTTTATGTTTTATTTTCTGCAAATAGCCTGCAGGTTTGTGGTGACTACGATACACTGAAAATAAAATGAGAAAGCAGTATGTTAGCGGTATACAAACACATACAGTCCCAGTCAAAAGTTTGGACACACCTACTAATTCAAGGGGTTTTCTTTATTTTTACTATTTTCTACATTGTAGAATAATAGTGAAGACATCAAAACTACGAAATAACACATATGGAATCATGAAGTAACCAAAAAAGTGTGAAACAAATCAAAATATATTCAAATAGCCACCCTTTGCCTTGATGACAACTTTGCACACTCTTGGCATTCTCTCAGCCAGCTTCAGCTGGAATGCTTTCCAACAGTCTTGAAGGTGTTCCCACATATGCTGAGCACTTGTTGGCTGCTTTTCCTTCACTCTGCCGTCTGACTCATCCCAAACCATCTCAATTGGGTTGAGGTCGGGGGATTGTGGAGGCCAGGTCATCTGATGCAGCACTCCATCACTCCTTCTTGGTCAAATAGCCCTTACACAGCCTGAATATTTGTTGGGTCATTGTCCTGTTGAAAAACAAATGATAGTCCCACTAAGCCCAAACCAGATGGGATGGCGTATCGTTGCAGAATGCTGTGGTAGCCATGCTGGTGTGCCTTGAATTCTAAATAAATCACAGACAGTGTCACCAGCAAAGCACCCCCACACCATAACACCTCTTCCTCCATGCTTTACGTTGGGAACTACACATGCGGAGATCCGTTCACCCACACTGCGTCTCACAAAGACACGGCGGTTGCAATCCAAAATCTCCAATTTGGACTCCAGATCAAAGGACACATTTCCACCGGTCTAATGTCCATTGCTCGTGTTTCTTGGCCCAAGCAGGTCTCTTCTTCTTATTGGTGTCCTTTAGCAGTGGTTTATTTGCAGCAATTCAACCATGAAGGCCTGATTCACACAGTCTCCTCTGAACAGTTGATGTTGAGATGTGTCTGTTACTTGAACTCTGTGAAGCATTTATTTGGGCTGCAATTTCTGAGGCTAGTAACTCTAATGAACATATCCTCTGCAGCAGAGGTAACTCTGGGTCTTCCATTCCTGTGGCGGTCCTCATGAGAGCCAGTTTTGTCATAGCTCTTGATGTTTTTTGCGACTGCACTTGAAGAAACTTTCAAAGTTCTTGAAATGTTTCGTATTGCCTGACCTTCATGTCATAAAGTAATGGTGGACTGTCGTTTCTCTGTGCTTATTTGAGCTGTTCTTGCCATAATATGGACTTGGTCTTTTACCAAATAGGGCTATCTTCTGTATACCACCCCTACCTTGTCACAACACAACTGATTGGCTCAAACGCATTAAGAAGGAAAGAAATTCCACAAATTAACTTTTAACAAGGCACACCTGTTAATTGAAATGCATTCCAGGTGACTACCTCATGAAGCTGGTTGAGAGAATGCCAAGAGTGTGCAAAGCTGTCATCAAGGCAAAGGGTGGCTATCTGAAGAATCTCAAATTTAAAATATATTTTGATTTGTTTAACTCTTTTTTGGTTACTACCTGATTCCATATGTGTTATTTCATAGTTTTGATGTCTTCACTATTATTCTACAATGTAGAAAATAATAAAAAATAAAGAAAAACCCTGGAATGAGTAGGTGTGTCCAAACTTTTGACTGGTACTGTAGCTGAGACTTCCTAAGTGTAACACGTTTTAGTTGATCATGGGTTTGAAAAGCAGCTGGCATTCTGTTAACCCAGCTCCATAGAGAGAAAACAACATTACAAAAAATGAAAATGTTGACGAACAAGCCTGGAGAACAGAGTACAGACTCCTTGCCTCCTGATGCTGGTCAGAGTAAATATTTGAGGAGTTGATATAATCTGCCAAACATCACTATAATTATTACACCAAAGAACACGCTGTTGGACAGAAAATGCACTAGGATACCAAACCTACAGGGCTTTTTATTCTGTCAGACAAGTGGACTACCTACAATATGATTTTTATTATATATATTTTTTTAAACAAAAACATGAATGGGAGTGCATGTATGGAAACAGAAGGTTTTGATGTGACCGTATGTTTGATGTGACCCCCATCCCATAGTGTAGGTCACAACGAGATCATTGGAGTGTGTAGGGTGGGCAACGAGGCGGAGAGCCTGGGTCGTTGCCACTGGAACGAGATGTTGTCATACCCCCGCAAGCCCATCGCCCACTGGCACCCCCTAGTAGAGGTACAGTATGTGCGTGTGTGTATGTGTGTGTGGGTGTCAATCTATTCACTCATTTATACTGTATGTCCGCCCGTCCGTCCGTCTTTCTATGTTAGTCAACATGTATACTGATGGAAGAAGAAATATGAAGTTTTATCCTTGACATTATGACCACACATCTCAAGGGGAAGTAGACAGCAAGGTGTTAGTAAACAACAAGCCATAGAGCTCTGCTTCTCCAGCTTGTATAGGGACAATAAAACACAAGCAGGATTATACACTGCTCAAAAAAATAAAGGGAACACTTAAACAACACAATGTAACTCCAAGTCAATCACACTTCTGTGAAATCAAACTGTCCACTTAGGAAGCAACACTGATTGACAATACATTTCACATGCTGTTGTGCAAATGGAATAGACGACAGGTGGAAATTATAGGCAATTAGCAAGACATCCCCCAATAAAGGAGTGGTTCTGCAGGTGGTGACCACAGACCACTTCTCAGTTCCTATGTTTCCTGGCTGATGTTTTGGTCAATTTTGAATGCTGGCGGTGCTTTCACTCTAGTGGTAGCATGAGACGGAGTCTACAACCCACACAAGTGGCTCAGGTAGTGCAGCTCATCCAGGATCAATGCGAGCTGTGGCAAGAAGGTTTGCTGTGTCTGTCAGCGTAGTGTCCAGAGCATGGAGGCGCTACCAGGAGACAGCCCAGTACATCAGGAGACGTGGAGGAGGCCGTAGGAGGGCAACAACCCAGCAGCAGGACCGCTACCTCCGCCTTTGTGCAAGGAGGAGCAGGAGGAGCACTGCCAGAGCCCTGCAAAATGACCTCCAGCAGGCCACAAATGTGCATGTGTCTGCTCAAACGGTCAGAAACAGACTCCATGAGGGTGGTATGAGGGCCCGACGTCCACAGGTGGGGGTTGTGCTTACAGCCCAACACCGTGCAGGACGTTTGGCATTTGCCAGAGAACACCAAGATTGGCAAATTCGCCACTGGCGCCCTGTGCTCTTCACAGATGAAAGCAGGTTCACACTGAGCACATGTGACAGACGTGACAGAGTCTGGAGACGCCGTGGAGAACATTCTGCTGCCTGCAACATCTTCCAGCATGACCGGTTTGGCGGTGGGTCAGTCATGGTGTGGGTGGCATTTCTTTGGGGGGCCGCACAGCCCTCCATGTGCTCGCCAGAGGTAGCCTGACTGCCATTAGGTACCGAGATGAGATCCTCAGACCCCTTGTGAGACCATATGCTGGTGCGGTTGGCCCTGGGTTCCTCCTAATGCAAGACAATGCTAGACCTCATGTGGCTGGAGTGTGTCAGCAGTTCCTGCAAGAGGAAGGCATTGATGCTATGGACTGGCCCGCCCGTTCACATCTGGGACATCATGTCTCGCTCCATCCACCAACGCCACGTTGCACCACAGACTGTCCAGGAGTTGGCGGATGCTTTAGTCCAGGTCTGGGAGGAGATCCCTCAGGAGACCATCCGCCACCTCATCAGGAGCATGCCCAGGCGTTGTAGGGAGGTCATACAGGCACGTGGAGGCCACACACACTACTGAGCCTCATTTTGACTTATTTTAAGGCCATTACATCAAAGTTGGATCAGCCTGTAGTGTGGTTTTCCACTTTAATTTGGAGGGTGACTCCAAATCCAGACCTACATGGGTTGATAAATTTGATTTCCATTTATCATTTTTGTGTGGTTTTGTTGTCAGCACATTCAACTATGTAAAGAAAAAAGTATTTAATAAGATTATTTCATTCATTCAGATCTAGGATGTGTTATTTTAGTGTTCCCTTAATTTTTTTGAGCAGTGTATAAACAAAACAATCCATCCATGTAGTGGGAGAGGAGGAGAGGAAGAGGCTTAATTCACTAAGCTATTTAAAAACACTACTCCTCCACCCTCATTAATGGAGACCAGAAACAGTTCCTGGACTACATCAACGTTTACAGTAATGCAGCCTACACAATGAAATAACGGAAGTGCCTGTCATTGACTAACATTGTAGCTGCACAGTCAGAAGCCCTGGGGTGTATTCACTAGAACCAAGCGGAAGCTTACTAACCCATCAACCACAAACACAAACACTTGACTTTTCATTATTTTCCCTCGCCGCTTTTCATACTTTGGTGTTTTGAAATCTTTGTGCAAGACTCGCTGACCCTCAAGACCACAGACAGTTGTCATCAATAATTCACATCCCCGGCCACACCCTCTTTATTCATCTTCTCTACACAGAGTCTCTCTCCCTCTCTCCCTCTCTCCTTTTTTAAGCTATTAAATGCCAGCTGAAAAATACTTGCTAGTTATTAAACTAACTGCAATCTGAATTGGAGGTCCTCTGAAAGTAGAGAAATTAGTGTGTGATTTTTATTAAACGGAGCATGGCATTTCTGAGGCACAGTGCGTGACAATTGATTTGCGGACAGAGGCGCGACAGAACGCAAAGGGGGGCCGAACACACACATAGGACTATTTTTTGGTCAAACGAATGCAATCTTCAGAGTGCATTATGTGACTTCAGCCTCCCCGTTTCCATTTGCTGAAATTAGATTTAACCTCTGAATCTTTCCTCTTTGTGCAATTCAGCTGTCCATTGTATTCCCAGACCTCATATACTGTAACCTGGTTGTTGTGTTCATCTCTCTGACTGTGTTTCTGTTTCCTATCTGTGTGTTCTCTAGTGGGTGGGCCAGGGGACTGCAGGTGGAAGTCAGGGCGGTTCCACCAACTCTCTGAAGACTCCTCCCTCACCATGATATTATTATTATTATTATTATTATTATTATTATGATGAGGAGAACACAGGGTGGTGAAGAAGAGGAACAGCAGAGAGCCTCAGCATCAAAAGAGGAGGAGAGAGCATTAAGCTGATGGTAGATGTTACACTCGGTTTCCCCGACACAGATTAAGCTTAGTCCTGGACTAAAAAACATGCTAAATAGAGAATCTCCATTTAAAAGTGATTTTGATCCAGAACCAGGCTTAAACCATGTCTGGGAAACCAGCCCTATGTGCTCCCACCGCTGAGTCTGTGACATTCTTGCATGGGGGACCATGTTTAGTCAACTGCATGTCCAGTGGCCATTCATTAGTACTATTTGTTTAAAAAACAACTGGGAAAAAAAGAAAAGTGTTCCAGTTTCAGTTGGGAGGTAACTGTATAGTCTTGTTTATGTCTTGTTTTATCACACATTGTTACAATTCATTGATATTTGTTCTTTGGGTACTGTGCATGGGTTCTTTTTTTCTGTAATGTTGTCATTTCTAATGCTCTTTGGTTGATTACATGTGAGATACTAGCATACTGTAAACACAAAATGTACCATGAAACTAAGACCTAGTATGTAAATTGTCCATTCAGATGTTACTAAATAAATATTTATATAGTAGTTCCAGTGATCATACTGAAGAATGCACATACTTTTAGAAAGCTTTGACACAACAATACTCTCCCAACCTTCACCCAAAGTGCAATTCTGCCAGAAAAAAAGGTCACACATTATTTGGATAGTCCGGATTTTCATACTATCCGCAAACTATCTGTTGATAAGCAACTGCTTGCTAAGGCACTGTTAGGGTTAGGTTTAGAATAAGGGTTAGGGTAAGGGTTAGGGTTAGGGCTAGGGTTAGTGGATCGTTAGCTGAAACGTTAGTGATAGTCTGTAGAGAAGATGGACTATCACAAAAAAAAGTATGTTAATTAAGTTTACTACACAAAGACAGACAGGTAATCTCAACAGTGAATTGCTGTGTCAGGAAGAAGAGAGTAAATATAATTGAATAGACGCACAGGCCTTAGAGCCTGTCCTGGGGGGGGGGGGAGTGATGCCGAGCCTGTTGACAGCCAAACAAACAGTAATGAAGTGGAGTTATGTCACACATGGAGCTAACAAAAATATATGGAAATGTCTTCTCTATCCAAAATTACAACCAAAAATGGAGGAGGCTAATCGAAAGGGGAGAAGGTAAGGAACTTGTCTGTCGGCCCTACATTAAAGACCAAAATTTTTACAAAAATCATGTGATAAAAAAGTATACCAGTTCCATTTAAGGACCAAAAAATGAACGGCTGCGCCATACAGGTTGCAAAATAGTTGGGAAGAGATTTTCGATGTGCCGAATCCATGGCACATGGTTTATGAACTGATACACAGCAGCTAATGGGTATCCTTAATAAATAAATAAAAAATACAAATACACAAAACAACGCCTGATTCAAAACTTTGAGTTTTTCTTATTTAAATTATTATACAAAATTCTTGCAACCAATAGAATGGTATGTACACTATCAGTCTAAAGTTTGGGCACACCTACTCATTCAAGGGTTTTTCTTTATTTTTACTATTTTTTACATTGTAGAATAATAGTGAAGACATCAAAACTATGAAATAACACATATGGAATCATGTAGTAAACAAAAAAGTGTTAAACAAATCAAAATATATTTTATATTTGAGATTCTTCAAATAGCCATCCTTTGCCTTGATGACAGCTTTCACGCTCTTGGCATTCTCTCAACCAGCTTCACCTGGAATGCTTTTCCAACAGTCTTGAAGGAGTTCCCACATATGCTGAGCACTTGTTGGCTGCTATTCCTTCACTCTGCGGTTCAACTCATCCCAAACCATCTCAATTGGGTTGAGGTCGGGGGATTGTGGAGGCCAGGTCATCTGATGCAGCACTCAATCACTCTCCATCTTGGTCAAATAGCCCTTACACAGCCTGGAGGTGTGTTGGGTCATTGTCCTGTTGAAAAACAAATGATAGTCCCACTAAGCCCAAACCAGATGGGATGGGGTATCGCTGCAGAATGCTGTGGTTGCCATGCCGGTTAAGTGTGCCTTGAATTCTAAATAAATCACAGACAGTGTCACCAGCAAAGCACCCCCACAACATAACACCTCCTCCTCCATACTTTACAGTGGGAAATACACATGCGGAGATCATCCGTTCACCCACACCGTGTCTCACGAAGACACTGCGGTTGGAATAAGAACTCTCCAATTTCGACTCCAGACCAAAGGACAAATTTCCACGTTCTAATGTCCATTGCTCGTGTTTATTGGCCCAAGCAGGTCGCTTCTTCTTATTGGTGTCCTTTAGTAGTGGTTTCTTTGAAGCAATTCGACCATGAAGGCCTGATTCACACAGTCCCCTCTGAAAAGTTGATGTTGAGATGTGTCTGTGACTTGAACTCTGTGAAGCATTTATTTGGGCTGCAATTTCTGAGGCAGGTTACTCTAATAAACTTATCCTCTGAAGCAGAGGTACAGTTGAAGTCAGAGGTTTACATACACTTACGTTGGCGTCTTTAAATCTCGTTTTTCAACCACTCCACAAATTTCTTGTTTACATTTACATTTACATTTTAGTCATTTAGCAGACGCTCTTATCCAGAGCGACTTACAGGAGCAATTAGGGTTAAGTGCCTTGCTCAAGGGCACATTTACGTCATTTAGCAGACGCTCTTATCCAGAGCGACTTACAAATTGGTGCATTCACCCTATAGCCAGTGGGATAACCACTTTACTTTTTATTTTATTTATTTTTTTTGGGGGGGGGGGGGGGTTGAAGGATTACTTTATCCTATCCCAGGTATTCCTTAAAGAGGTGGGGTTTCAAATGTCTCCGGAAGGTGGTGAGTGACTCCGCTGTCCTGGCGTCGTGAGGGAGCTTGTTCCACCATTGGGGTGCCAGAGCAGCGAACAGTTTTGACTGGGCTGAGCGGGAACTATGCTTCCGCAGAGGAAGGGGAGCCAGCAGGCCAGAGGTGGATGAACGCAATGCCCTCGTTTGGGTGTAGGGACTGATCAGAGCCTGAAGGTACGGAGGTGCCGTTCCCCTCACTGCTCCATAGGCAAGCACCATGGTCTTGTAACGGATGCGAGCTTCAACTGGAAGCCAGTGGAGTGTGCGGAGGAGGGGGGGTGACGTGAGAGAACTTGGGAAGGTTGAACACCAGACGGGCTGCGGCATTCTGGATGAGTTGTAGGGGTTTAATGGCACAGGCAGGGAGCCCAGCCAACAGCGAGTTGCAGTAATCCAGACGGGAGATGACAAGTGCCTGGATTAGGACCTGTGCCGCTTCCTGTGTAAGGCAGGGTCGTACTCTCCGAATGTTGTAGAGCATGAACCTGCAGGATCGCGTCACCACCTTGATGTTAGCGGAGAACGACAGGGTGTTGTCCAGGGTCACGCCAAGGCTCTTCGCACTCTGGGAGGAGGACACAACGGAGTTGTCAACCGTGATGGCGAGATCATGGAACAGGCAGTCCTTCCCCGGGAGGAAGAGCAGCTCCGTCTTGCCAGGGTTCAGCTTGAGGTGGTGATCCGTCATCCATACTGATATGTCTGCCAGACATGCAGAGATGCGATTCGCCACCTGGTTATCAGAAGGGGGAAAGGAGAAGATTAGTTGTGTATCGTCAGCGTAGCAATGATAGGAGAGGCCATGTGAGGATATGACAGAGCCAAGTGACTTGGTGTATAGGGAGAAAAGGAGAGGGCCTAGAACTGAGCCCTGGGGGACACCAGTGGTGAGAGCACGTGGTGCGGAGACAGCTTCTCGCCACGCCACTTGGTAGGAGCGACCGGTCAGGTAGGACGCAATCCAGGAGTGAGCCGCGCCGGAGATGCCCAGCTCGGAGAGGAGGATCTGATGGTTCACAGTAGCAAAGGCAGCAGACAGGTCTAGAAGGACAAGAGCAGAGGAGAGAGAGTTAGCTTTAGCAGTGCGGAGAGCCTCCGTGACACAGAGAAGAGCAGTCTCAGTTGAATGACCAGTCCTGAAACCTGACTGGTTTGGATCAAGAAGGTCATTCTGAGAGAGATAGCAAGAGAGTTGGCTAAAGACGGCACGCTCAATAGTTTTGGAAAGAAAAGAAAGAAGGGATACTGGTCTGTAGTTGTTGACATCAGTGGGATCGAGTGTTGGTTTTTTGAGAAGGGGTGCAACTCTCGCTCTCTTGAAGACGGAAGGGACATAGCCAGCGGTCAAGGATGAGTTGATCAGCGAGGTGAGGTAGGGGAGAAGGTCACCGGAGATGGTCTGGAGAAGAGAGGAGGGGATGGGGTCAAGCGGGCAGGTTGTTGGGCGGCCTGCAGTCACTAGTCGCAAGATTTTATCTGGAGAGAGAGGGGAGAAAGAAGTCAAAGCATAGGGTAGGGCAGTGTGAGCAGGACCAGCAGTGTCATTAGACTTAACAAACGAGGATCGGATGTCGTCAACCTTCTTTTCAAAGTGGTTGACGAAGTCATCCACAGAGAGGAAGGAGGGGGGGGGGGGGGGGGGGGGGGGGGGGATTCAGCAGTGAGGAGAATGTGGCAAAGAGCTTCCTAGGGTTAGAGGCAGATGCTTGGAATTTAGAGTGGTAGAAAGTGGCCTTAGCAGCAGAAACAGATGAAGAAAATGTAGAGAGGAGGGAGTGAAAAGATGCCAGGTCGGCAGGGAGTTTAGTTTTCTTCCATTTCCGCTCAGCTGCCCGGAGCTCTGTTCTGTGAGCTCGCAATGAGTCATCAAGCCACGGAGCTGGAGGGGAGGACCGAGCCGGCCGGGAGGATAGGGGACACAGGGAGTCAAAGGATGCAGAAAGGGAGGAGAGGAGGGTTGAGGAGGCAGAATCAGGAGATTGGAGGGAGAAGGATTGAGCAGAGGGAAGAGATGATAGGATGGAAGAGGAGAGAGTAGTGGGAGAGAGAGAGCGAAGGTTGCGGCGGCGCGTTACCATCTGTGTAGGGGCAGAGTGAGTAGTGTTGGAGGAGAGCGAGAGAGAAAAGGATACAAAGTAGTGGTCGGAGACATGGAGGGGAGTTGCAGTGAGATTAGTAGAAGAGCAACATCTAGTAAAGATGAAGTCAAGCGTATTGCCTGCCTTGTGAGTAGGGGGGGACGGTGAGAGGGTGAGGTCAAAAGAGGAGAGGAGTGGAAAGAAGG